TGATTTGATTTATTAAAATAAATATTAAAAGAATTTTTAAAAAATTGCAAATTAAAATATTTATCTTAAATTAAAATGTCTTAATTATAAATTTTTATACAAAAAATCGACTTCCCGCAGATCTATTTAAAAAAAATCTTTAATAATAATTTTAATCAAAATAATAATTTTGTTCATGTACACTTCATAAGTATTAATATTAATTATTAATTAGCTAATAAAATAAACAACGCCTTATATTTTCTAATATGAATAAAATTTATTAAAAATGGATAAAAATTTAAGTTAATTTGAATATTGATTGAACAAAATAAAAATTGTACAAAATATGTGTATGTTATTATTATAAGTAAATATATATTAGTAATATATTTAAGTAATTATGTAAATTGTAAAATTAAATATTTAAAAAATTATAAAATAGTATTAGAAAGTATTTTAAAATTAATAATTTATAAATATATTATAACTTAAAACACAAAAATTAATATTTTTAATTAAATTATAGTATGCAAAAAAGTTACAAATAATTAATTAGTAAAAAATTCAAATAAATTACTGTATAATATTTAACTTAAATTTAAATTATAAATTATTGAAAAAATAATGAACCTCCCACACGCTTTTTTAATAAATCTTTAACTAAAATTTTTAATCAAAATAAATAATTGAAAATAATTTATAATTTGTTGTAATTGTTTTAATTGGTCAACAAAATATATTATATATGTTTATCTATAATTTAATTTACTGTTTATAAATTAAAATTAAAAATTTATTTTAATATAAATATTGATTTTAATTTTTCAACTAAATATATTTGTTTTTTTATATTATAAGTTACTATGTAATAACAATAAACATTTGAAAATATTTGAAATAATTTTATTTAAAAATTATAATGTGATTATATACGAATTTTTTAAAAAAATTATATTTATTTTAATTAATCAAATCAGTTTACATTTAATGTCATCAGTTATGTAAACAAAAAAAATAAATAAATATAAATTGCAAATAAATTATAACATTTTACTTAAATTTAAATGTTTTAATTATAAATTATTGAACAAAAAAAAATCAATCGATTACTTAAAACTTTTTAATAAATCTTTATTTATAATTTATAATTAAAAAAAGTAATTGAAAATATGTTACAGTTTTTTTTAAAGCTATTAATATATGTTAATGTAAATATTGATTTTAATTATACAATAAAATACCCTATATTAGATTTATTTTTATTTTTATTTGTATAATACTGATTCACAGTTTTTATAATAAAGTAAATTGTTTACTATCATAATTGACATTATTTAAACAAAACAGTAGATATTTAAACAACATTATTAAAAAAAAAATTTAAGTGATTTAAAAGCTATTTTTTATTATCTATTGAATCTTCATAGTTTATAAGTAAATAATTAAGTAAAATTGTAAAAAATAAAATAAAACTTTAATAAGTAAAAATTAATCTAGAGACATTAATTTTATTATTTGTTTTTTCAAAAAAAAAAGATTATTTATATGTTTATTAATGCTAATATTAAAATAATAATTTGTACTGTTAAAGTTTATTTATATATTATTTTTAAATTATTAATTATAATTATTTTTAATTAAGTTACAGTTTTATTACTAAAATGATTTGTTAAATAGTTAAAATAAAAGACTAATAAAATATCTAATAAATTTTTATAGTTCATAAGTATTAATATTAATTGTAAATTAGTCAATAAAATATTGAACAGATCATATTTTCTAATTAATAAACTTTATATAAAAATATATTTTTAATAATAAATTTTTTAGATAAATTACAGTTTTTTTAAATTATAAATTTATTTTTATTTGAATATTGAATTTTGCAACATAATAAATCTATAATAAAATACATAATAAAATAATAAATATATCGAATTTAAATATAGACATATTTAATAATAATTAATTTAGATTAAATGACAAAATTTTATACTAAATAAAATTTATTATAATTTTCTTTAATAATGTAAATCTAAAACTATTTAATTAACTTAAACATCTAATTCATTTTGTTATTAATAAGTAAATAATTAAATATATATATATATACCTATTGGGCCATTAACCTAACATATGCAGTTAAAATAATTTAATGTTTTTTTGTTGTTGAATTATTTTACAATAAATAGTCCTTTGACATATAAGCTTAATAATAATTTTTAAATATTTATTTAAATTAATTTAATTAGTTTAAATTAAGTTACATCTATATAAACAAAGAAAATTAATAAATTTAAAATAATATTAATTATAAATTATTCAATATAATAATCATCTCCGTCATAAACCGCTGTATATATTAATTGATAAAATTTATTAAAAAAAATATTTTCACGAACTTTTGAAAGAAAATTTTAAAATCATTATCTAAAAATAAATTTTATAGTTATAATTAACTAAAAAATATATAAATTATAGGTTAGTTGATTAATATTGTTTATTATTATATAATAATAGTAAATATAAAATCATTAGGAAATAAAATCAAACCATTTTATAATTTTATATAATATTATTTTATATAAAATTATGACATAGTTATATTTAATTTTTAATATATATAATTTTAACTAATATATCATTAACTAAACAGTGCCATTATTCCATTGGTTTAAACGTTAAACTTTTATTTGTCAATATTTTTTTGTAGTTTTTATTTTTAAAAATTATTTTTTTTTTAAAACACTTTTCATAATTTATTAATAAAATTCTATATATTTAGGTGATAAACAGTAAAATATTTTAATGATATCATTACTTTATTAATTATATTATTGATTTTTTAATGAATTTAAAATATTATATACTAAATTTTTGTTAATAGGTTAATATAAATAAAAACTGTAAATTTTTTTAAATAAATTTTTTAAAAATTTAATATACAAAACCATTGAAATCATTTTAGATCGAGTATGGATGGAATATTTATTTATTTTTGCAAATTATATTATAAATTAAACTTTAATTATAATTTATTTGTAAAATAATATAATAAAATTATAAAAAGGGTTATAAAAATTAACCTAATATTTATCCAGTTAAAAAATATATATTTTATATTAATAGTTTAATCTAGATTAAATGACAGTCTTATTTTTTTAAAAAAAAGTAGTAATTTTGTGTTTGCTCTAAATATTGCTTGAATTGGACTTTGATTTTTAGTATTGTTTTTTAATTAATAATTTTTTTCTATTTTTTAAAATTATTTAGCTGCAAGAATTATTTTTTAAATATTATATTAATTAACAAATTTATCTAAAGTAATTACATTATACATTACTTAGTAGAAATTAATTTATTAATTATAAATAGATAGTTTTTCAATTAATAAAAACATGTCTAAATAATAAAAATTTAGTATAGAAGTTATAAATAAGTTTACAAAATAAATAAACATTTTTAAATCTACACTTTTAAAATAATTTATTTAAAAAAAAATATAATTTATGTTAATGAAAATATTGATTTTAATTGTACAACAAAATATATTAGATATATTTATTTATAATTTATTTATTAACAGTTTAGTATAAAGTAAATTGTTAACTATCAGTAGACAGTAGATATTTTACAGTAGACTATTATAAATTATTGAACAAAAAACCAACTACCACTACAAAACTTTTTAAAAAAATCTTTAATTAAGATATTTAATCAAATTAAATAATTTTAAATTAGTTACAGTTTTTTTTTGTTTATAAATAATAATTTATGTTAATGTAATCATATAGATTTTAATTGCTATTAATATTAGATATATTTTATTTATAATTTATTTATATTTACTGTTATTTAGCAGTTTAGTATAAAATAAATTGTTTACTTGAGAAGATAATTGTCATATATTTTTTTTAATACAGTAAACTTTTTTTTATAAAAAAAAATATTAAAGTTAAATAATTATATATCTATATCTATATATTTATATATATAATTTTTTTTAGTTATTTAAAAACTATTTTATTTATTATCTATTAAATTTTTTTAGTTCATAAGTATAATTAATTAAAAATATATATATATATTTGATAGATTAGGTAATTATTATTGTTTATTAGAATTTAATAATAGTAAATATAAAATCAACAATGAAATTGTGTATATATATATACATTTATTAAACAAACATATATTTAGTATAGTTAGTAACAAGATAAGGCGTTGTTCACATATTACGTTCGCACTTGAGGGGAGGGGGGGGTTAGCCAAAGCGAACTTTTGCGAACGAGAGGTAGGGGAGGGGTAGAGACTTTAAGAACGTTCGCATTTAGATAATATCTTATTTCTTGTGGTGGGGGGGAGGGGGTAGCGGTTAAGGATAAGCGAACGTAATTTTTTTAAATGACTCCATGCGAACAATTGCGAACATAGGGGAGGGAGGGGGTCTAGATTTCTTAAAAAGCGCGAACGTACTATGTGAACCACGTCTAAGTAAATTTATAATATTTTATTTGCTAAATAAACTAAATTATTATCTGAAATACTATATACAAAAATAAAAGCTTTAAAACGATAGACTATTTATATAAATAAATATAGTTATTTTGTTATAATTTTATCTAATATATTACTTTTGTGTGTATGTGTGTGTAAATTATGAGCAATAATATTATTATTAATAAATAATACAATTATAACTACTATAGAAAACTATTTACATTTATTATTGATTTATAAATTTTAGATATTAATGTAGATATGATAAGTAAAATAATTAATAATCTTTGATACTATATTTATAAAATATTTGCTGAAATTGTTTGTTTGTTATGTTTATTTTAAAAATATTTATCATTTAGTATAAAATTGCAGTTATATAGAAGCAGTAATTATTTTTTGTTAGTTTGTAATTAAATAAATAACTAATATTTTATTTGAAATTATTATATGAAAAAGTTTTTTTTAATAATGTTTAAATTACTAATTATAACTATTAGTTTATTGATAATTGTATGTCAAGCAAGTTTACAAATAACAAAATTAGGTGTATTTGAACAAAATGTAAGTATAATTATACTTTAAATTAAAATTTTTTAAATAATAACATTAATTAATTATTTTTTCAAATAATAATATTAATTTGTTGTATTAAATAATAATAATAATTTATATATATTAAATAATAATATTAGTTATTTATTTTTTTTGAATAATAATATTAATTTGTTGTATTAAATAATAATAATAATAATTTATATATATTAAATAATAATATTAGTTATTTATTTTTTTTTTGAATAATAATATTAATTTGTTGTATTAAATAATAATAATAATAATTTATATATATTAAATAATAATATTAGTTATTTATTTTTTTTGAATAATAATATTAATTTGTTGTATTAAATAATAATAATAATAATTTATATATATTAAATAATAATATTAGTTATTTATTTTTTTTTGAATAATAATATTAATTTGTTGTATTAAATAATAATAATAATAATTTATATATATTAAATAATAATATTAGTTATTTATTTTTTTTAAATAATAATATTAATTATTTAATTTTTTAAATAATATTTATTTATTTTTTTAATTAATTTTTTATAAAAATTTGTAATTAAGCTTGTCGAAAAAAATAATGATACTAACATTTATATGTGTGGTGGCTATTATAAAGATAGTAGTATTGAAAAGCTAACACGCGCGTGCAATAGCTATGATCAGGAAACACGTGTTTGGCAACCAATTAAATCATTGTCCAATGAACGATCAAGTTTAGCATTGATTGAATACGATAATAGATTGTGGGCTATTGGCGGCAAAAATGTAATGTGATTATTTGTAAATATTTTTAATTAATTAATATTTTTTTTACTAGACTAGTTTTCTATATAAGAAAAATTTAAAAAATAAAATTTACGATTTTTTTTATAATAGTTATCTGGAAGTCTAGATACTGTTGAAACCTATAATATAGTAACACGTTTATGGTCTAAACAATCGCCATTGAATATTGCACGCTAGTAAGTGAGCTAGATAATTTTTTTAGTTATTATTATTATTATTAGCTAGATAAGTTTATTATTATTACTACTAAAAAAATATATTTATTATTTTATTTTCTACTTATTATTATTATTACTAAAAAAATATATTTATTTTATTTTTTACTAATTATTATTATTAAAAAAATATATTTATTATTATTATTTTCTATTTATTATTATTATTATTTTATCGATAGCTCATTTGGTACAGCAGTTATTGACAATATTTTATATGTTTGCGATGGCAATAATTATCAACCGAGTATTGATCATATTATTAAAAATTTTTAATAATTTTATTATGCTAAAATAATATATATAAATTAATTTTTGTTTGTAAAAAAAATATTATAGATCAAAATGATCCAATATTATCATCGTGCGAATATTATTCAATGGAAACCGGGGAATGGCATCTGGGCTGGACAATGACAATGGCACGTACAGATTTTGCACTGGTAGCCCATAATGACTATCTGTATGCAATTGGCTGCTATTTCGGTAACTTTGATAAAGGCTATATACAATCAATGGAAAGATATAATACTAGGACTAAACAATGGCAACCAATGGCTAATATGCCTACAAAAAGGTAAATATATTTTTTTAAATAAATAATAATATTTACTATATATTTATTTTTACAAAAAAAAAAATAATTATTAAATTAGAAATGCATTTGGTGCCTGGTCATTTATGGATAAAATCTACGTGTGCGGCGGTTATGATGAAAATAATAGCAATAGTTATAGGGCATCATCATCAGCCATGTCCTCATGCGAAACATACGATTCACGGGCAAACAATTGGACAACAATCGGTAATTTTAGGGTTATTTTATTTAAAAAAAATAATTAAATTAATAATAGTTTCATAACTAATTAATTAATTAAATAATAGTTTCATAATTAATTAATTAATAGTTTTATAATTAATTAATTAATAGTTTTATAATTAATTAATTAATAGTTTTATAATTAGTTAATTAATAATAGTTTCATAATAAATTTATAAATAATAGTTACATAACTAATTAATTAATAATAGTTTCGTAATTAATTAATTAGTTACTAATGATAATAATATTATATAATAATTGTTTTATTTTTATTGATTAGCATCGATGAATACTAAACGTTATGATTTTCAATTGGTTGCCATTGATAATGTTTTATATGCCCTGGGTGGCCAATCAAGTAAATATATATTTTTAATTAAAAAATATATATATTTTTAATAATATAATCTAATTAATTAATTAATATATTTAATTATTTATATAGCAAACGGTACTGTAGAGCAATATGATTATACAACTAATCTATGGTCATATACAACACCAACGTTGCCATTCAATAGCTATGGATTTGGTGTAAGTATTAATCAAAATATTTATTTTATTTTTTAAAAATATAATAATAATTGTTGTAATCAAAAAAATTAATTAATTTTTTTATTATTTTTTTTATTAAATAAATTATTTCTAGGCTACAACATTCTAAATGGAAATTATTATGATCAAAATTTTTTTTTATAAAATTTAAACATTTTTAAATAAATATTTTTATTAATTTTTTTTAGATATTTAGTATAAAAAAATTACATTAAGTAAGATTTTTTGAGTTTATATATTTTATTTGATTAATTATATATTAAATTAAACATTTTATTTTTTTTTTAAATTTTGTTTTATAAAATAATAAAATTTTTTACTTCGACTTATGCTAATAATTTTAAATGACATTTTGTACTAATTTTATTTTAATAATTTAAACTTAAATTACAGTTTAATATTTTTTTATAATATGTATAAACAAGTAATTTTTTTTATCAAAAAATATTATATGTTTTAAATCTATGTTATTTATAATAGATATTATGATATTAAGTTTATGTAATTTATTATTATTATAATTATTTGAAATTAATTTTAGTCGACATTTTATAAAAAAACTGTTGTATAATTAACTTTAAGTTTATATTTAAAAAAAATTTAATAAAAGTAAATATCATTTTTAAAAATTAATAGGTAGTAGATATTTAACAACAAAATACAACAATTAATTAGTTATAAAAAAAACTATTTTTATTTTATTAAAAAAATGACATAATTTATTTAATTGTAATTTTAATGATAATAATAATAATTAGTATTATTATTAATACTATTTAATAATGGCAGAAAATTTATAAATATAAAATGTATAATATATATAGATATAAATATATAATTAATTAATTATTAGTATAAAATATTTTTTATTATATATATATATATATATCATAAATATATTTGAAATTCAATATGTCGTCGACTTTAAGTAAAATTATTGATAAAAACAAACAACAAATACTGTAATGAAGTTATTATCGTTGGGTAAACTGTTGTATATTTTATCACTGATTTTATTAGTATTGTTGTTGTCATGTATTTGGACGGCACATGTAGTCCTAAGTGATGATAGTCCTGGTAGTGGTGGTGCTGCTGATGGTGAAACAACAACTACAGGTGCTGATGCAGCTACTGGTGCTCCAACTACTACTACTACTGGTGCTACCACTAGTGATAATGGTATTGGCGGTGTTTTAGCTGGCACATTTAAAAAACTACCATTCAAACTACCATGTATATATTTTAAATATTATTATAATATTATTTATCAATTTAATTTAATAATATACATATATATATATAATTTATTTATATAAACAAAACAAAATAATACATATAATTACATATTTATAATTTTTTTTCTAATTTTTTGTTTTTTTCTAATTACTAATTACCGATACCGACACACACACACACACCTACATCAATGATATATATATATATATATATATTTATATAGTTTTAAATAAAAACGGTAGTGTCCAGGCACAGGAGGCTATCAAATCGGGTAACAAAAATGCCAAACATTATAAACAATATAACGATGAAGTGGATAAGCTATACACTGATATGTTTAAAGATAATAATAATACTAATAATAATAATAATAATAATAATAATAGTATTGGGCACCTGGCTACTATTGGTAAAAAGGGTAGCAAAAAAAAGTCTAACCTATGGAGTAATGTACCATTATTGAGAAGTATGTATATATATATATATATATATATATATATATATATACAGTATATACCACTGGTTATCAGTATAGTGATTTCTGATTACTTTTGATTAAAATGCACTGTCGAAGCTTATGGTTTATTATAATATATTTCATCTAGCTAAAAATACACTGTTACATATTAATTTTAATTAAGTGGTATATTTTATTTAATATTATATAAAAAAAGGTTATTAAATTTGTGTATTATAATTTTTTTTTGTTTTTTATCTTGGTCAGTAATTATGTTTTTAAGTAAGGGACCGTATAATAATCGTGATATCGCCTGGTATATACTGTATTAAATTTATTTTTTTTTTTAAATATATATATTATCTAGTGCAAGTTTTATAGATAAAATAAGCTTATTTTTTGGGGGGGGGATATTCAACTAACTAATACATTATTTTATGTTATTGTTTTAATTTTGTTATTTTATTTAATAAATAAATAAAATTTAAACAATCACTCCCCACATATACAGTATATATTTATATACATAAAAAATCTAAATAAATATTTTCGTTTTTTTAATTAAAAACATAGTATTAGTATTAAAAACTTTTGACAATTTTTTTGTTGGGGTGGTAAAACATAAAATAATTTACTTAGATTAGTAGGATACCCCCCACCCCTCCCTATATAACTAAAATAATTACATAAAATTTTATTTTGTCTGTAAATTTATATAAAATTTTAATTTTATTTTTTTAAAATTAAATTTTAGACATTTTAGTATTAGTATTAAAAACTTTTGATAATTTTACTAAATAGGTGGGTACTGTGGGGGGTGGTAAAACATAAAATAATTTACTAAAGATAATAGGATACCCCCAAACCCCCACCCCATAAAAATATAATAACAAAATAAATATAGAACTAAAATAATTACATGAAATTTAATTTTGTCTGTAAATTTATATAAAATTTTAATTTTAATTTTTTTCAAAAAAAAAATTAAATTTTTAGACATTTTAGGCGAAACTTGCTACGATAATATCGGGTGTTTTAGTGCACTTGAATACCAGGACTTTAGCAAACGTCCCATCCCGTTGCTACCCATGTCGCCCGATGCTATCAATCCTACATTTCATTTATATACAGTGGACAGTATGCTTGTGGCCGAAAATTTTAGCTACAATTCCACCGATGATCAGCTGAAAAAATCCGGTTTCAAACCCCAATTGAAAACCATATTTATTACACACGGGTTTCGCTGTGAATTTGAACCCTGGATGATAGTATGTATCAAAAAAAAAATAATATATAAATGTGTATATTTTTATTAAATTTTATTTTCTAAAAAAAAATAAATAAATAAATATATAGATAACTAAAATTGTAGAAAATTAATTTTATTGATGAGAAAAAATTCTATTTTTTAGAATAAATAGAAACAATAATTAGATTTATTTTAAATAATAATATTTTAATATTTTTAATTAATATATTTTTTTATGTGATACAAACTTTTTTTTAGAAAAAATAGAAACAATAATTAGATTTAAAAAATAATAATATTTAATTATATATAATTGTTTTTGGTGAATTGTTTTAATCATGAATTATTAACCAGGTAGTATAAGTTTAATAAGTTTATACATTTTTAATTTATATATTTACAGTAATAATATATATATAAAATAATATTTAATTTATTTCAACTAAAACAATTTTATTTTAATTAAAATAAAATTTTTGAAAAATTTATCTAGACCAATTTTTTTTCTCTATATAAATAGGAACTTAGAGACTTTATATTTAAATCGACTAACGAGTACAATGTTATTGTTGTCGTATGGAAAAATGGTATATATATATATATTAAAAATTAAAATTTTTAATTTTTTAAATAATTTTTTTTACTACCCCCCCACCCTACCCCCGTCCACCAAGGTGCCATGGTACCGCTGTACCATTTGGCCGCCACAAACACGCGTGTAGTCGGCGCCATGATTGCCTATTTTGCCAAATCGTTGGCCCGTACTTTTGACTTCCCGCACGACCGCTATTGGCTTATTGGTCACAGTCTCGGAGGTCAAACAGTAGGCTATGCTGGGAAACTTATACGCAATCCTCCTGTTTCACGTATAACAGGATTGGATCCTGCGGGTCCCGGGTTTCATTACGATGATATTAATATGCATTTGGATAGATCTGATGGCCAGTTTGTCGACGTCATACATACGGACAGTGCCTATGCCTTCAACGAAGGTATGGGTACCGAAAAAAAGCGCGGTTTCTATGATTTCTATCCTAATGGAGGTATGTATTGATGTGTGTATGTGTATGTGTATGTGTATGTGTATGTGTATGTGTATGTGTATGTGTATGTGTATGTGTATGTGTATGTGTATGTGTATGTGTATGTGTATGTGTATGTGTATGTGTATGTGTATGTGTATGTGTATGTGTATGTGTATGTATATGTGTATGTGTATGTGTATGTGTATGTGTATGTGTATGTGTATGTGTATGTGTATGTGTATGTGTATGTGTATGTGTATGTGTATGTGTATGTGTATGTGTATGTGTATGTGTATGTCTACTATTTTGTTGTTGGGGATAACGGTATTAAAATAAAATTAAAAATATTTTTTTAATGTCTATTTTTCTGTCTATTGTAATAATAATAATAGGATTAATGCAACCTGGATGCTCCCTATCACGTGGTATATTGCATATAATAAACTCGATAAAAACTGGCCAGGAGCTATCATGTTCCCATACCAGGGGTACTATCTTACCGTATAGTATAGGTAATAAAGTTTATATTTTTAAAAAAAATTAAATAATTATTAATTAGCATGCTAATTTTGGGGCGGGGGCGGGATGCTATTATTTTATGCATATACACACACACACATATAGGTAATAAAGATACCTATTGTCAACCGATTGCCTACGATTGTGAAAATTATGAACTATTTATTGAGGGCCGATGCAACCAGTGCCGGAACGGCATGTGCCAGCCCATGGGCTTGAATTTTGATTACTATAAAAATTTTACACCACCACCCGAATCGGCTGACTATAAATTTTGGATTCAAACCAATTATAAATCTGAATTTTGCGGTAAAATTATTTTAATTATTAAATAATAATATTAATTATGTAATAATAATATTAATTATGTAATAATAATATTAATTATGTAATAATAATATTAATTATGTAATAATAATATTAATTATGTAATAATAATATTAATTATGTAATAATAATATTAATTATGTAATAATAATATTAATTAGTAATAATAATATTAATTAGTAATAATTATTGTTTTATTTATTTAAATTTAATTTAGTTTATCATTATCAAATTGCTATGCATATAGCAGAGGATTCAAATACAATTAGAGGTATTTATAATTAAAATAATAATAATAATAATAATTTTTATTAATTTTATAAAATAATAATTTAAATTAAATTGTAATTTAGAATACAATATAAATTATATATATATATACACACACAAAATAAAAATAATTTTTTAATTAAAAAAAATAATTAATTAATTAATATTTATATATATCTACCAAAAAAAAATCAATTTTAACTAATATACAAAAAAAATTATTTATATTTATTTATTTTTAATTTAATTTTCTATATATATATACAGGTTTTCTTGAATTCAATCTGAAAACTAAAGATAAAAATGAATATAAATTTATTAGACATATTAGCCGATCAGCAATCGGTGAAGTGTTAACCTTATTGATAACATTTCAATTTAAACTGGACCTCGAATACTTGACCCTAACCTGGCATCCCCTACAAAACGATACAAATTTATTTAAAAAAATGCGTATAATGGTCATTGAAGTTAACTATATGAGCCATATTGTTGAATCGTAAGTTTATTTTTAAAAAAAATTAAAATTAAATTTATTATGTATTTTTTTTTTGTATATAAAATTTAACATTTTTTATTTTTCAAATTTTTTTTATTCAAACAAAATTAATTATTTAATTAATTAAATACTAACAAACAAATTGTCGAAAAAATTTAAAAATAGTTTAGTTTACTAATTAAATTAAAGTCGGTTTATATAAAGTTAGTAATTATAGATTAGTTTTTTTTAAATAAAAATTTTCAGTTAATCAATATTTTTAATAATAATTATTATTTTAAGTAAACATTGTTTTGTTTTTTTATAGAAATTAAATATATAAACAGCAAATATATATATATATATAAAATATATAATAATACTAATAAATAATATATAATAATACTAATAAATAATACAAATATAATTAGTCAGTTTAATAATTTAATTTATATAAATTTTATATTAAATTATTATAATAACTGACTTGAATTGATCTAGATTAACTGAAAAAATTTTCTACACTAATTTATTTTTATATAAAATTATATATAAATTATATATTTATTTAGATATTTTAATTTTTAAAAATAAAAATATTTAATATTTTTAATCAATATTTTTTTCAATCAACAAAATTTCATAAATAAAAATTAAATTTTTCAGCGAAAGATTGAAAAACTCGTACAAACTGTGTCCCCGATCGGTGGGACCCAAGGATTTAACATTGAAAACACCGCTAACACTAGAGCCGTGCAAATCGGTGCCGTATGTCGACCACTGGGCCAGTGAACAGAAACCGGAATTGTTAACATCGCTAACCGATAGCCATATGATTAAGTATACAGACTACGAGTGTACAAACAAACCGGAACCGCGACTAACCGATCGGCCAAAAGTGTCCAATAAATTTTTGTTTGGCCTCAAAGGTACCGATCCGGACACTAATAATTTAGCCGATTTTTCATAGGTTATAATTAATTAATTAATTAATTAATTAATAACAATTAATAATTAATTGATATAATAAATTTATATCTAGCTGTACACACAAAAAAATCATTTAAATTTATATAAATATATAGTATATATTTTTTTAACAAAAAAAAATAATTTTTTTATAAATAAATAAATTAATAAAATTTTTTTGGATAATTTTTTGATTGATTAATAATTATTTCAATTAATATATATCTATATTTCTATTATTAATAATTAATAATTAATAATTAATAATTAATAATTAATAATTAATAATTAATAATTAATAATTAATAATTAATAATTAATAATTAATAATTAATAATTAATAATTAATAATTAATAATTAATAATTAATAATTAATAATTAATAATTAATAATTAATAATTAATAATTAATAATTAATAATTAATAATTAATAATTAATAATTAATAATTAATAATTAATAATTAATAATTAATAATTAATAATTAATAATTAATAATTAATAATTAATAATTAATAATTAATAATTAATAATTAATAATTAATAATTAATAATTAATAATTAATAATTAATAATTAATAATTAATAATTAATAATTAATAATTAATAATTAATAATTAATAATTAATAATTAATAATTAATAATTAATAATTAATAATTAATAATTAATAATTAATAATTAATAATTAATAATTAATAATTAATAATTAATAATTAATAATTAATAATTAATAATTAATAATTAATAATTAATAATTAATAATTAATAATTAATAATTAATAATTAATAATTAATAATTAATAATTAATAATTAATAACATTATAATTATTATAATTATTAATTATTAATATATTTAATAGAAATTTATTAATCTAATTTATTATTATCATTTTATATTATTATAAAATTTTTTAAATTATATTTTTTATAATTAATTTAAGTAAACTTGTAGTAAACTGTAATAATAATAATTATTATTATTTATTTAGTTTCAATACAATACAGATAATTAAAACCAGGAATAAAACCAAATAAATTTTATTTTACAAAAAATTAAATATAATTAACAAAAATACAAGTGATTTTTAAAAAACAACAAATTAATTAATTAATTAAAAAAAAAATAAATACAACAACAAATATGTTGCATTTAAAAACTATTTTGAAAATAATAATAATAACAACAACAATAAAATACAGTATATATATGTGTGTGTTTTAATTTTTCAACAAAAAAAAATAATTATTAGCTACTAGTTTGCACCCCCGGGGTATTTAATTATTATTATTATGATATAAAAATGTAGGTGCTGTATCCCGGGGGTGGGGGGTTGACGGGGATGCGGGGGTTATTAACCGATTCGTTTTAGACTACTAAACATACCGCCTTTTGGCGGTTTAGTAGTCGGTTTGACTGTTGAACCACCACTACCCCCACCTGCACCTCCACCACTACCCCCACTACTAGCATCACCACTATGATGAGCACCTGTACCATCGCCAGTACTATCCTTACTGCCCAGATCTTCGTTGAATGTTTTCAGCACTTTATCCTCCCGTTCGTCGTGTACTTCATTATGGGGAACGTCCGGCTCAATTGGCTTATGGGGATGGACTGCCAAATGTTTTAGGCTGTTCAGGGCAATGTATGAGCCGGGTTTGGGCGTTGTACGCGACTGACCCACTTTCAATCGGACAGCTTTGCTAATGTATTGGTCGACCTTAGACTGGTCCGGTTTGATGCGCCTGGGTTTGCTAGTTGTTGTTGTCTTGTTGCCCTATAATAATAATAATACCCGACCCACCCCACCAAATAGATGTATTAATATATATATATATGAGTTATTATATGCATATATTCTACAATATTTATGTAACTATCTAACTAATACCTATCCCACTATACATACAGTATATCTAACTATCGCTATCTCACTAGACATCTATCTAACTATTCTTATCTAACTATCCCTATCTAACTATTCCTATCTAACTATTCCTATCTAACTATTCCTATCTAACTATCCCTATCTAACTATTCCTATCTAACTATCCCTATCTAACTATTCCTATCTAACTATTCCTATCTAACTATCCCTATCTAACTATTCCTATCTAACTATTCCTATCTAACTATCCCTATCTAACTATCCCCATCTAACTATCCCTATCTAACTATCCCTATCTCACTATCAATCAATAAATCATAACCCCTACCCTCTCTACATCCGACATACCTTGAATTTTTGTTGTAACGGTCCCAGCAGTTCTCTGGTATCTTTTTTGGTCCAATGGCCGGCAAACACTTTTCTCAATACATACAATAGGGTACCCTTTTCGTTGCGTATGCCAATCACTTGGTGCATGATTATGGCTGCCGGTCCCTTCCAGCTACCATCCGGATTCTGTAGTTTCGGTCCAATATAGGGCAGTTGATAGATGGACGGTAACTGACCGATTAGGTGTTCAATGATTTTCAATATATTGGCCACAAAACCGTAGGATACTTGTGCCGAATGACCCAGACCACTGGTCAACGAATCGAGACCGTGACGGGATAGTACACCCTACGTGGATACAGGACAATACAATCAGGTGTGTGTGTGTGTGAGTGGGTGGATAGGGTAGGAGTGGATGGATAGGTAGGAGTGGGTGGATGGGTAGGAGTGGGTGTATATGTAGGAGTTGTTGGGTGAATAGGTAGGAGTGAGTGTATAGGTAGGAGTTGGCGGATATGTAGGAGTGGTTGGGTGAGTGGATAGGTAGGAGTGAGTGTATAGGTAGAAGTGGGTGAATATGTAGGAGTGGTTAGGTGGGTGGATAGGTAGGAGTGAGTGTATAGGTAGAAGTGAGTGAATATGTAGGAGTGGTTGGGTGAGTGGATAGGTAGGAGTGAGTGTATAGGTAGAAGTGGGTGAATATGTAGGAGTGGTTAGGTGGGTGGATAGGTAGGAGTGGTTAGGTGGGTGGATAGGTAGGAGTGGGTGTATAGGTAGAAGTGGGTGTTCAAATTACTTACAATAATGTTGCGCATAGGATCGACGCCCAATTTGACCATGCTCATCGGACTGAATATGGAAACACCATGATCCAATATCAAATTAATATTGATGCCAATCGAGTTGATATGTTTGGCATCGATACCTATTTTAGCTAACGTTCCCAACGATACGTCATTATTTAGATGTTCTACAGTAATAATAATAATAATTATAATAATAATATAAAAATAAATAAAATTATAATAAATTATATATATATTTATTTTAGACTGGGTCATCCCTATATAATTTATATAATGCTGATTAATATTTTTTTAAAAAATGTAATTGATAAAGATAAAAAAATTTAAAAAAAATTAAAAGTTTGTAGAGATATCATAATATCTATAAAAAATTAAAATTTTAATATTTCTAATAATAATTTTTTATTTAAACTAACAATTTATAAATATTAGTTTTAGATTAAATCTATTGAATTAGAAAAAAATAATTAATTAAATCTATTTTTTTTTTGTAAAAAATAGCTCTATATCTAGTATAAACTGTATTATTATACTGATACCCTATGTTTACCCCCTCCCTCCCCCTTTACTACCCCCTCCATATATATATATACATATACTTACTTTTGAGTCCACCGATTAGCAACAATTTCGGATCAATACCGGAGCTCAACATTAGCGGTATATTGATGCCGGCTTTGGCCAATACTTTTGGTTCAAACCCGACATAAGCCGATGCTAGCAAATCGTCGACATCCAGACCCAGTTTATCGCTCATATCTTCATGATCCCGGAGCCCATGTTTGGCTAAATGTACTGGATCAATTCCTATTATTTTATAAAAATAGATAGTATAGCACCGGGTGGGTTAGAAATCTAGTTATAAGTTAGCTATAATCTAGTATACTATATGATAGAGTATACTAAACGCACCGATAGCTTTCAATTTGGCCGACTGTATGCCCAGTTTGTCCAACGATCCCGACTCGCCCGCCTGAATGCCCAATTGTTTTTGCAGGTCCGGTCCCAGTGCACCGATACCGCCGGCCAACAACACCGGCAAATCTATGCCCAGTTTGACGGCCGCACGTATATCGATGCCGGCGGCCGACAATTTTTTCTCGTCCACCAAACAGTAGCGCATATAGCGATTGAAAAGATGTTTGATATCGACGCCGACCTCCTTGAGCTTAGCCTCATTGGCCGTCAATAGGCCTGACCTAAATTATTATTGATTAATAATAATTAATAATAATTAAGGGACTGCTCACATATTATGTTCGCACTTTTTTAAAAAGATATCTAGACCCCTCCCTCCTCTATGTTAACAATTGTTTGCATGATGTAGTCATTTATAAAAAATACGTTTATATATCCCTAACCGCTTAACCCACCCCCATTAAAAAATAAAATATCTAAATTAAGATCCTCCCCTCCCCCTCGTTCGCAAAAAATCGCTTTGACCGACCCCCTCCCCTCAAGTGTGAACGTAATATGTGAATCGCCCCCAATTTATTATTTGTCAGGTAGGGGTATAGTTAAAAAACAAATACCAATTACTTACTCTAATAAATTAGCTGTATCCAGTCCCAGCTTGGCCATGGCTGCACCGTTTAGGCCAACCGATTCGGGACTGGCCAATTTGGCCTGAGCTTCTTTAGACAATAGTTGTTTACCGCCGGCCAATAGTAGGCCAGCATCGATGCCGGCCAAGGTTAATTTTTCTAATATAGTATAACATATCATAATAATAATAATAGTTTTATTAATTTATAACACACACATAGTTATACTGTATACACACACACACATATAATTACACACACCACACACATAGTTATACACACACATAGTTATACACACACATAGTTATACACACACATAGTTATATATATATATATATATATATATATACACACACACACATAATTACACACACATAGTTATACACACATATAGTTACAAACACACACACATAGTTATACACACACATAGTTATACACACACATAGTTATATACACACACATAGTTATACACACACATAGTTATACACACACATAGTTATATATATATATATATATATATATACACACACACACATAATTACACACACATAGTTATACACACATATAGTTACAAACACACACACATAGTTATACACACACATAGTTATACACACACATAGTTATACACACACATAGTTATACATACACATAGTTACAAACACACACACACACACATAGTTATACACACACATAGTTATACACACACATAGTTACAAACACACACACACACACACACACACACATAATTACACATACCACACACATAGTTATACACACACATAGTTATACACACACATAGTTACAAACACACACACACACATAATTACACACACCACACACATAGTTATACACACATATAGTTACAAACACACACACATAATTACACACAACACACACATATATAAGTACACACATACACACACACACATACATACACACACACACACATAGTTACAAACACACACACACATACACACACATAGTTACAAACACACACACACATACACACACATAGTTACACAACAACACACACACACACACACACACACACACACACACACACACACAGTTATATATATACACACAACACACATAAAAAAATCTATACTAACCAATATCAATACCGACCATCCGGAGCACATCGGGATCCTGGCCGCCCAACAGTGCCGTCAACAATGTATTTTTATCGTGAGCCGATTTGGTCATCATTGACAGATTGTCTAGTGCAACTAGCATATTTTTCAATGGTTGCTGTTTCAGGTTGACCCTATGGCCGGGTATTTCCAGGAATTTTTTCGGATCAATAATATTGCCCAACAATCCGCCAAACATTGCGCCCATCATCGACCCGATCGGACCGCACGCCTGTACGTACGTCAACAGCCAGCCGCCCATAAACTCGCCCAAACCGCGTACAATAAAATCCGAATACGGCCGCAGTTCATCCCGGGCTACATGCGCGGCTCCCGGTGCCGTCTGGGGTACGTCACCTTGGACTTGCATCCGGATCATGGCCAACAAACCGCCCGAACCGTGCAGCCAAGCTAGCATTGCCCGACTCAGTTTGCCCGGATTGCGTACAATTTCGTGCAGTACAGGATTGGTAAACTGTTGGACCAGTGAACCACTTTGAACGCCCAGTTGGGTGGGACTTATCTTTCCTGGTGTGGTGGTGGTGGTGGATGGGTGGGGGTAATGGTTAACAACAATAACAAATTGATTTTATGATTATATGAGTGTTTTCATGTGTTTGTGTGATATATGTGTGTCTATGTGTGTCTATGTGCGATATATGTGTGTGTATGTGTGTGTGTATGTGTGATATGTGTGTGTGATATATGTGTGTATGTGTTTATGATATGTGTGTGTGTGATATATGTAAGTGTATGATTGATATGTGTATGTGATATATGTGTGTATGTGTGTATGTGTAATATATGTGTGTATATGTGTGTATATGTGTGTATATGTGTGTATATGTGTGTATATGTGTGTATATGTGTGTATATGTGTGTATATGTGTGTATGTGTGTGTATGTGTACAATCTCACCTATGTTAACTGCGTGGACGATTTTAATGATCGGCAACATTATACGAATAACATCGGCTAGTGGGGCAACAAAACCGACCCCTTTTAAAATTTCGGGTATTTCAGTGACACGGGTATTAAAATCGACTGTAAAACAAACACAAACAACAAAAATATATGTTAAAACCAGTATATATTAGATATGATTTTGATCGGTTTTATAGGTGTATGTATGTGTAGTTTGGTAGGGGTGGTCAACCCCCCCTAATACCTACTTTTACTATTGACCATTGTATTGATAGCCCGGAGTACGGGTGCCAATACCGATGCCATCGGTACGAACACTGGTCCGCCAACTTTTAGCAAAAAATCAGGTGACAGTAGCAATCGGGTAACCATATCTTCATCGTCCAGATCTAGTTTACCATCATTTTTCAGACCCATTTTGTAGCCGCCGGGCGGCGGTCCGCCCTGATAGCTATCGGCCAACCGTTTATCGGCTTTACGATTGAAATGCGGCTTCTCCTTGATATACCTATCGAAATGGCCTTTACCTGGTGGCGGTTCGGTCGGATCGGGCAAATCGATTTCAGTGCTATCGGCGCTACCGCCACCACCGGTCGACGCTTTAGTAGTCAGCGATGCGGCGGCAGTAGTGGCCGCACGTTTACGACGCTTACGACTAGACGATGGCCCGTCCGTATGATCTAAACTACTACCACTAGTGGTTGTCTCATCGTCTCCCAGTACCGATTGGACAGTATGGTCGTCCGTATGGGCGCCGCCGCCGCCGCCGCCAGTTTTATTAGCATACAATACCTTAGCCTTGTAGGCGCCGCCGTAAATGTTGACACCGTGTGCGGCGGCCAAATCCAGGCCGCAAGACATTGAACGATAGTATTCGCCGGTCGACAGAAATCGGAACCATCGGAGTAGGGGTTCGACGACCATCAGTACGGGTTTGAATAGACCGCCCGACGATTGGATGATAATCGGCGGTAATGCCAGTACCAGATCCCAGGGATCTTCCTGTTGGTTAAGGACTTTGCCGATCAGCAACAGTGGCCCGAATACCTGATTCATTAGGGTTGCCATAGGCTGGTAGACAATGTAGACTATTGCCCGTCCTTGAGGACCTGGTTGGTAGTAATGGGTGGGGGAGGGTGGGGAGGGGGTAGTTAATAATGTTAGTTAATAAGGTATATTCAATATACCGTATACAGTATATACAGTATTATTAAATATATTATTATTTTAATTTTTTTTTAAAATAATAATAATAATAACAAACCCATTGTTTTGTAGACCAAATCGGACAGTGCGTGTATGGGATCGCCTCCCTGTCCTTTCATACTTTTAACAAAATGTATCAATGCGTTCAATGCCTTAATGGATTTGCTTTTTTAAAAAAAAAACAAATAGTAATAATTAAATTTATTGTTTTATTTATTTATTTTAAAAATAGGTTATTTTTTAATATTTAACTTATATATATTTTTTATGGTTTAATATTTATAAATTATTTATTTTTTTTTGATAATAGTTTTTATGATAATTAGATTAGGATTAAGTTGAACTAAAATTGTTTAAGTAAAACAATTATAATATAAAATAATGTAATTTTTTTTTAATAAAAAATAAATTTTATAATTATATGTTAGTAGTTACAACTAAATCAAACTAATATTAGTTAATTTAATTTATATTATATTAAATATATTTTTTTTGTTGATAATAATTTATTATTACACACAATGAACTCATGTATATACTGTATATAGTTATATAAAAAGTAATAAATATTTAAATATAAAATATATATTTTTAAATATATATACATATATATATATATATATATATATATATGTATGTATATATATACATACATTTTGACCTGTTCCACTTGGCCACCCTTACCAAACATTTGTTTGTATTGTTTTTTAGCTTTAAGATCGGCATCTTTTTTATAGGTTTCCCATTGTTTTTCTAATTTTAGTTTTTCCTTATTGACATCAAATTTTTTAACTGTATCCACAGCTAGTTTGTTGGAAAATTTTTTTAACAAATTAAATTAAAAAATTAACATTATACAATTATCAATGGGGGGATGAGGGTAGTGGGGTAATTAATTGGGTGTGTGTGTGTGGGGGAGGAGGGGTTGGGAGGGGTGTTACCTTGTTGGGCATACTTGGCCACGTCGACACCTGTCTGATTTTTATATAGATTCATTGCAACACCGGTAACGCCCCCTTGACTTTTGAAAAACTTTTTAACTTTATCAATATACAATTGTATGCCATGTTTGGCTACATTGTCGATAAAGGTTACTGGCGTACGTACAGCCTATTAGTTTAAATAAATATATATAATTAACAAGGTTATTTATATACGTGTTAGTAGTAATAATACTGTACTACTATTTCATGTAAGGTCATAAGGTAATGTTTTTTTTTTTTGAAAATATGATATTAATTTTGATTGTTAAAATTATTATTTAAAAAAAACTGTAAATTATATAAAGTAATAGAAAATATTTTATAATTACAGTAATAATAATAAATTTATAGGAAGAGCAAGGAATAGCGTTTTGATAAAATTTTTAGTATTAATAATAATATATTTTTAAAAATAAATAAAAAAAAACAACAATTATTTAAACTTATTGGAAATTTTTAGAATTATTTGTAATTTTTTAGTGTTCAACTAAAAATTTACAAATAGCTAACTAAAAACAAAATAATAGACTAAATTACATAGATGCATTTTACTGTAATTATATTATATTAATAATAATTATATTATATTAATAATAATTATATTATATTAATAATAATTATATTATATTAATAATAATTATATTATATTAATAATAATTATATTATATTAATAATAATTATATTATATTAATAATAATTATATTATATTAATAATAATTATATTATATTAATAATAATTATATTATATTAATAATAATTATATTATATTAATAATAATTATATTATATTAATAATAATTATATTATATTAATAATAATTATATTATATTAATAATAATTATATTATATTAATAATAATTATATTATATAACTAATAATAAAAAATTTAATTATTTTTTTGATTTATTTGTTTGTTAAAATTTTTTCAAAAAAAAAATAACTTACATTGAGCATAATATTTTCATATTTATCCTCATATTGATCCAGATTAAGGCCCATAAAATGAAAATAATCACCCAGTTTCAATTGTTTTTGTTTACCCAATTTTAGCATCGGTTCCAGTCCGACCCATATATCATCTTTTTTATTATCCAGATCGGCACCTACCGTTTTACCTAGTTCAGCCCTGGTCATTTTAGTTTTATGTTCCATTTTACTAAAATAATTTCCCGGAAAATAGCTCAGGGGCATTTTCAATATTTTCATATTTAGGCCATCGATTTCAATGAGTGGATCGGGATCCAAGTCCTTAATCAATCGTATAGGATTGACCTCCCGTATGGTATCCTTAATTATTTTCATTACTTGACCCGTATCGGCAGCACCTTTACCACTACTACTACCGTCCCCTTTACTATCACCACTACTACTATCATCAGCCGATTGGCTGGCCTGTAGGTTATGGTCAGCTTCTGCAGCATCAGCAGTAGTAGTATCATCACCGCCACTACCATCACTGCTAGTCTCAGGATTGGCTGATTTTAGGGTATGATCTTCACTACTACTACTACTACTACTACTGTCACTACTACTATCATCAGCCGGTGCTCCTGACGTTGTTGTTGTTGGTGTATCGTCAGCGGCCGCACCTGTAGTCTCTATATAAGTATAATAATAGTAATTAGTATATTGTATTGTATATAATAAATACTGATATATATATATATATATAACTAATAGTTTAGTTATTGATATTTAGTATATTTTTTGTAATTTTTTTTTAAAAATAATACTTTTAATGTAATTTTATTATTATTATTATTATTATTTTAGCTAGTTTAAAATTTGTTTTTTTACAACTATGTTTTGGTTATATTAAATTATAAGTTCAATTTATTTATTTATTTATTTATTATTATTATTATTATTATTACATAGTTCATACATTATAATTATAGTACTGTTTATGACTATGACTACACATATAATTGAATGTGTATAATAATAAAATATTTATCTCATCAATTACATTTAGTATAATTAGATTAATTAAGTATTAAATATATATATTTAAATAATATATAAATTAAAATACATACCACTATCATCGGCATAATACAATGAAATGTGTCCAACAATTATTGTTAAACATAATAATAATAATAATTTTAATCTACTTATGGCCATAATTATTATTTATTGTTTTTAAATAATGATTTATTTAATTAATTAATCATTATAGGAAAAAAATGCCATATAATATAATAGTAATGGATGGCATATATATATATATATATATATATATATATATGTATATATAAATACAGTATATTATTAAGTGTATTTTTTTGACTAATTAGTCCATATGGTATTGAATTGATTTATTAATGAAATTTTAATATTTTTTAAAAAATATTAGTATTTGTGTGTGTGTTTTTTATTAATATTTATTTTTTAATAAAACAACATTTATAATTTAATTAATAATTTGTTTCAATAAATTACAACCTATTAATTTTATTTATTTTTTAAAAATTTAATTTTATCATATATATAGGATTGTTTAACTAAATAATTATTATTTTAATAAATTTAATTAGATTAGCTAAAATTTTTTAATATTTTATAATTTATAATAATGTTATTTATATTTATATATATATATATATATTTATATATTTATTTATTTTTAAAAATTTATAAACAAATTATTTTAAATGTTAGTCATAATAAATAATAATAATAATCATATACTATATAAAGTTATATATATATAGTAAAAAAGATATCATTTGACATAAATATAATATTTTTTTGCAAACTTTTAACAATAACTTAAATATAATAATTAATAAAAATATATATAATAACAACGATATCTTTTTACTTTTTAAAATAACAATATATTAATTATTAAAATATAAATTTTAGCTAAAAAAATTGTTTCATTAATAAAGTTTAGATACAGTTATATATTACTATATATAATACAACAATTGTTAGCAAGTTTAACAAGGTAATTTGATATAAAGTAATATAATGATGAGTGATAATTGATATATAATATAAATTAAAATAAAAAATAATTATTTTAATAGTTATTAAGGTAAAAGTTATTGTTTCAATAACATGTAATTTATAAATGTTATACATATATATTAGTTTAACTTAAATAATTTAATTAATTAATTAATTAATTATTAACTATATCAATAATAACTATTAATGTAATTTACTATAATGTCAATAGATTTTTTTAAACATATAATCTTGATCAATTTTTTATTTAGCACTGTATATGGTAAGATTAATAATATATTATTTAATTTTTGAAATTTTTTTTTTTAAAAATAATTATATTATAAAATAAAATTTTTTTTGTTAATTTATTACTTTAAAATAATAATTATTATAAATTACAGGGATGATTTTAAAAGTCCGGAAAGTTATACTATATTATAAATTTTAATAATAAAATAATTATAGTTAAATATTATAAGTAATTAATTTACAGTTTAGTTGTTTTTTAAATAAATAATTTTTAACATTAATTAATTTATTTTTTTTTTTAAAATTATGCTTAAATTATTATCTATTTTTTTGTTGTCAAATAATATTATATATTTAAAATAAGTTAAGATTTTTATTAAGTTAAGTCAAAATATATTATTATTATTTATATTTAATTTTATGAAAAAAAATGTTTTTAATTTATTTTTATTAAAATATTTATTTCTAAGCTATTGATTGGATTCTGTATAACAATAATACAGTAGTTATTGATGGCATTAATACTACTACTAGTAGTAATACTAGTAATACCAGCAATGGGAAAGGTATCTCAAATAACAATACCATAGTAGCTGATAGTTATAACTATTTTAACTACTCAACAAAACCAACAGTCCTACTACTACTACCTGTCCAACAAAACGATACAATATTATATGACACCACCATTAGTACCACTGCCACTAGCACTACCAATACAGGTAGTAGTAATAGTAGTACAGGTGCTACTACAGGTGCTGATACTATTGTTGTCGATATTTTTATTACTAACAACACTATTACTAATGACAGCACCGACACCTACAACATCATCAACAATAACATCACTGAAAGTGCTGCTAATCTAACTAAACTGTTTGCGACAGTCAATGATACCGGCAATCATACATTGGCGGTGGTGGAGGACAGTCATGTTGTTGTTGTTGGCACTAACACTACTAGTAGTAGTAGTACTGGTACTGGTGATGATGATAGGCTACTACAGCAGCAGCAACCAGAGACTGAGGTACCGGTAGTTTTTATCGGCAACAATACTACTGTCGGTGAGGAAAGCCTTAAAAACTTTACTACGATAACGTGGGCTCAGGTATCAAATGACTACAACAACAATGCAAACAACAACAGCTACCAGTTGTTCAACAACAATAGTATCAACAAATCCATGTATGACATACAGGAGCCGTCAAATACAACTATTGCCTACAATACTACCACTACTACTACTACTAATGCTAGCACAGAGACATCGCAAGCACCGGTAGTCAGTAATACTACTACTACTACTACTAGTAGTAGTAGTAGTATAGTTCCCTATGAACTGACATCAATAATATCGGCAATGCCCGGTATTCCCGTATTTCAGGAACCGCCCGAAATTATGATACATGACCCCGATGAAGGTCCATTGGAGCCCTATCAGCACCCGACTAACAAGTCCAACAACAACAACATGACCGCCGGTGACTATATCTATGTTAGACGGCCAAAGTTTCAGCCGGAAAAAGGATCGCTTGAAGAAAAATATCGGCACCTGTTGGTCGACACGGGCGACGATGATGTACCCGATGATCTATATGGAGGAGGAGCTGGCGCACCGGGAGGTAACGGCAGCTATGTCAACACCTATATTGATTATTCAGATATTACTATAAGTCCCATAATCAGCAATACTACCAGTGCTGATGCTGCTGCAGCTGCTCCCGTATTAATGCCGCCACCACTACCACCGCTACCTCCAATGCCTTACCCTAACTACCCGCCATTTGCAGCTCCGGGCTATTTTCCATACAACAACAACAACAATAATAATAATAATTATCGTCAATTGTATCCATTGGCCTACAATCAGCAATATTTCTATAATCCCATTCCTATGCAACCATCAATACCAGGTGCTACCGGTGCTGCTGCTGATGCTAACAGCACAGCTGGACCACTGAAACCAGTTAATAATAACAACAACTATCCCTATCTGATACTATGCCCGCACGCCTACCTGAACCAAATGATGACACCCATCATGAACCCATATATGGCCGCCAATAATGGTGGCCAACAATACCGCCGCCCCAACCATGGCTACTATCCAATATCCAATGAACAACCCGGTGGTGGTGGTGGTGGTGGTGGTGGTGGTGGTTATGATGAACAACCGGCCACCACTATAGCACCTGTAGTAGTAGACCCGCGATTTGAATTGCTGCCGAAAAGTTTTCAGCCATACGGTGCCCAAATAAAACAGGTATCCATCGACGATCAAGTAGTTCAGCGGCCAAAGTTCAACAACGGTATGATCATAGGCGATACCGATACACTGGAAATGTTAGGTCCGCTAGAGTTTATGACAACTACTACTAGTACTACCAGTCCAAGTAGTAGTAGTAGTAGTAGTAGTAGACCACTGGTTAATACTAACCTAACAACTACTACTACAACTACTACTACTACTACCGGACCTACAAATGAAATCAAATTTATAATTAATCCTAAACTGGACGACAACGATGACGATGATAATGATGATGTCAACAACGATGACATCACTGGTAGTCATAACCAAAAACCTAACGGTGCCGGCAATTATGATACGCTAACAACTACTGCTGGACTACCCGATGGTCATTATGTTAGCCGAATCAATAATATCAGTCCCCGACTATCACTGAATCCATATGAGGTAGTGGTTCCCAATAATGCTGCTAATAATCATCAATATATGAGACGCTTGAATCCTAATAATCTGTATCCCGTTCCTCATCAACCACCACCACAACCACAATCACCAACTTATCGTCCATACAATGATGATGGCGCTGCTGGTGGTGGTGGTGGTGATGGTGGTGGTAGTGGTGGTGGTGGCTACCATTTACCGCAGACTATCGATCAGTTAGGAATCAGACAGTATATGAGCCGACAGCATATGGTGGACGGCGGCGGCGGCGGGGGTGACGCTGCCGACGGCCATGAGTTTAGTGACGGCAAACAACTACCAGCAGTTAGAGGTGGTAGTAGTGGAAGGCCTATAAATAGTCAGCCTATTAACGGACAGTCTATTAGTGGACAGTCACCATCAGATGGCTATAATCTAAACCAATACTATACAGACAACAATGACAACAACGATGATGACAATGACAACCGACAATACTATGATAAGGCCGTACCGTCAAACCAGGCCATGGCCACCGGCCATACAGCTACAGCACCGGGTGGTGGTAGTAGTCGAGTAGTGGCACCAAACAAACAACACAATCACCAACCGATTGGACCCATACATCGCCAGCCATCCCATCAACAACAACAACACTATCAACGCATACTTACTGCTACTACTACTACTACAGCACCTGATGCTGATGATGGTGGCGGTGGTGGCGGGACGATTGACCTACCGGTGAAGCTGCACAATACACGTCCGCATTTTCTGGTACGTGCCAAAATACGTAATCTCGATCAACTACGACCAGATCTCGTTACCGGTCTACGCTGGTGGACCGAACCACGACCCGACTACTGTTCCCGTGAACAGATATCGGTGACTACCGGGTGCCGGGTCCGGGACCGGTCATCGCCGATCCAAACAAAACGTTGGTCCTATTCATCACGTGATCAACGTTGTTACGCCTATCTGGACGAGTGTTTCGATGGTAAGCGCAACTCGTTTGCGACGTCCCAGGACTGTTTCCGACACTGCTATCGACTGTCAATAACTTAATAAATGAGAGACCCCGTCCACCCCCTGCCCTATCGGGGGGGGGGGGTGCCGATCATCTACCGAAGCATTTAGTTTTTTTAAATGTCAATAAATAGTTTTTTTTTATGTTTTATATTTATATTATTATATATTATATTATTATTATATTTAATCAATCAATGAAATTATTAGATCAATTATTTTTGTTGAATTTTTAATTATATAATTATATTCAAAAAATAAATAAATATATTTAGTGTTATATTTTTAACAAAAATCATACATATATTTAAATAATTAGTGGTATTAAATAATTTAAAATTTTGTTGTTGTTGTTATTATTGTATCAATTATTAAGTTTATTATTATTTTTATTATTATTTTTATTATTATTTTTATTATTATTATTATAATTATTATTGTTGTTGTTTGTATTGTAATATTATTATAGTTAAATATATGCTGTATTATGTTGATAAATTAAATAATTAAAATTAAAAAAAAATAACATTTTTGAAGTTAAACAAAAATGTAAATAAAATAATTTTATTAATAAATAATTATTATAATTATTATTAATTTTCAATAAACAAAATATTAGTTATAAAAACTTTTAATTATGACTTTTTTTTAACGTTTTTAATTTTATTTATTTTAATTAACAGTATTTAATTTAAAAAAAAAAAATATTTATTATACACATTTAAAATTTGGTTTATAAAAATAATAATAATAATCAATTAAACAAATAAACTACTAATAGATTAGGGTAAATCCAGAATAATATGATCCAGGTACTTTATTGAAAACCGGGTTTTTACCTTCAACCAAACCAATATTATGTAGATCAGTGGCATGCGATAATGGTACTAGGTTATTAGATGGACGATCCCGGGCCCAGGTAAGCAATTGTTTATTGCATCTAATATAATCTAGTTCATTTTTATTAGGCAACAATTGTCCCATAATATTATCTTTTGGACAAAATACGGCACTATGATCATTTCTAACACTGTTAATTTTAAATATTTAAAAAAAAAATTAAGCTTGTACAAAATGTAATAAGTGTTTTTTTTTAGTAATTATAGTAATAGTAATAATAATAATAGTAATAGTTATAATAGTGATAGTTATAATAGTAATAGTTATAATAGTAATAGTTATAATAATACTAGTTATAATAGTAATAGTTATAATAGTAATTATAATAGTAATTATAATAGTAATAATAATAGTAATAATTATAATAATAGTAATAATAATAGTAATAATAATAGTAATAATAATAGTAATAATAATAGTAATTATAATACTAATTATTAATTAATTATTAGTTAATTATTAACTAATTATTAGTTAATTATTAATTAATTATTAGTTAGTTATTAATTAATTATTAGTTAATTATTAGTTAATTATTAGTTAATTATTAATTAATTATTAGTTAATTATTAGTTAATTATTAATTAATTATTAGTTAATTATTAGTTAATTATTAATTAATTATTAGTTAATTATTAATTAATTATTAATTAATTATTAATTATTAGTTAATTATTAATTAATTATTAATTAATTATTAATTAAAAAATGTTTTAACTTAACCTTTGATCAATATGGCTCATGTATGCAATTTCAATTTGTTCGACATATAGCCTATAACCGCGATTCTGTCTATTTCTATCAAATTCGCCAAATCGTAACCACTGTAGAGTTAATGACTGAAATTGCGTAATCCTAACCTCACTAGTCATTAGCAGGGTATGTATTTTACCAGGTTCAGTTTTCGATATTACTCTCTGAAATTCAAACGTTTCAATTGTATCGTTGTTGCTTTTATTATAATCAAAATTTTTATCATTATTATTATTATTTTTATTATTATTATTATTTTTATTATTATTATTATTTTTATTATTATCATCATCATCATTATTGTTATTCTTCTTATTAATAAAAATTTTAAAATTTTTATTTTTATTATTTTTTTTATTATTATTATTACTAGTATTTGTAGTATTAATACTACTACTACTAGTACTACTACTACTGATACTTTGATTGTCAATTGTAACTTTTAGTGTAATATTTAGTAGGCCTAATATAATTTTTTTTAAAAATAAATAAAATTAAAATTAAAAATAATTATTAGGATATTAATTATCAAATAATTTTTTTTAAAAATAATAATAATTACGTTTTATTATTTTATGTTTATTTTAAAATAAGTAAATTTACCTGAAACCAAATCCGATTTGTCCGATATGTCTAGGGCAATTTGATAATGATAAACTAAATATACAAAAATTTAAATTTTTTATAAAATTAATTTAATTAAATTAAATATAGAGAAAAAAATTATAAAAAATACTATACAATTGAATAATTATTAATCAATATATTATTGAATTATTAACTATTAGATTAATTGAATCTAATGTGTTAATTTTTTTGATTAAAACTATTTTTAAATTATATTAATTTAATCAAAATTTAGTTAGAATTTTGATATTTTAATATTATAATAAATATTGTTAAAAATTTTCATATGATATTAATTAATTAAAAATATATATATATATATATATTTACGGCAATAGTCAATATAACGGCCAGTTGTTAGAAAATATTTTTTATTCAATGCCGACGGATCTGGTTTATCGTCTAACCAATAATCCGGATCAATGCCCATTGGTTTGCATCGAGATTGGGCACAGTTAGCGCACCGGCCCTCCAAAAACGTATTATACGATTCGCACTGATAGCCAATTGCTTTACAGGTATCTTCAGGTTTATCTTAAGTAATTATATGACATAAAAAATAATATAATAATAACAACAACAATAAAACACATATATAAACATATACATAAATAACTACACCACACACACACACACACACACACAGTACACACACACACAGAGACACATACATACATACATACATACATACATACATACATACATACATACATACATATATACATACTTATACACATACACATGCATACATAACTACACACATACATAACTACACACATACACACACATATGCATACATACATACATACATACACACACATATGCATACATACATACATACACACACACACTACCCACATGCATACATAAATACCTACATATTCACACACACATACACACACATACATACATAAATACATACAAACATAATTATACACCCACACACCCACACACACACACACAAGTACATACCTAGATCAACCATTAATAGACAGGCGCGTGAATGTGAGCACGTAATATCACCGCCAAATACTGTCGATGTAAACTTTCGGGCAATACTGTGCGATATGGGACAGCCAGGTTGCCATGAACCTATCCACAAAAATAATTAAAAATAAATTGTTAGTTTTTTAGCATGAAACATCCTAACCCCCCATCCCTTAATAATTATATATATATATATATATATATATATATATATATATACTGTACTAACCTCCATTTGGATAGAAATCATAATGACCGAGTGTATCGTGAATACCGAAACCTTCAACATAGGATAGTGCAGCATCGGTATGTATAACATCGACTATCTGGGCATCATTATGATCCAGGCGCATCACGCTATTGTTAAACTGAAATGCCACACCTGTGTGTTTTTAGAAATGGGGGTTATATGGGTGGGTTGTGTTGTGTTGTGTTTGGTTTGGTTTGGTAATGGGTCAAGGGGGTTTATTATTATTAAATTATAATTAATTATATCAAATTGTTTATAATTTCTAATTAGGTATGGAATAGGTATGGAATAGGTATGGAATAGGTATGGAATAGGTATGGAATAGGTATGGAATATGTATGGAATAGGTATGGAATAGGTATGGAATAGGTATAGGGGGAGCGGGGGGTAAGTCGTTATAGTAGTAGTGGATAGGAAGGGGGCAAAAACCTGCCGGATCCAGTGCCGTAATTCGCCATAGTTTAGGATCTTTTAGACGTTTGCCGGCATAACCGCACGTATGGGCGCCCAGACTGTGGCCTATCAACCAGATTCGATCGTTTGACGTATTAAAAGCGGTGGACAGCCTATTGATAAACGATCCGATACAGGCACCGACTACACGTGTATTAGTAGCTGCCAGATTGTATATAGGTGTTCGGGCACCTGGTATTTATTTTTTTATTAAAAGTTATTATTAAAATTAATTAATTAATTATTATTATTATTTTAATTACCATCTTCCCAGACAACAACCACAACATTGTATGTATCGTTTGATTTATACAATATATAGTCTCTCATATTCTATAATAAATTATATATATATATATATTTTAAAATAAAATTTTTAAATTATAATTTAGTAAAAATTTATTATTTAAAAATAAGATAAAAATTATCTTTTGTTTTTGTTTATAAATATGCATTTATCTGTGTGTGTGAGAGAGAGAGAGAGAGAGAGAAAAAGGAGAGAGAGAAAGAGAGAGAAAAAGGGAGAAAGAGAGAGAGAAAGAGGGAGAAAGAGGGAGAAAGAGGGAGAAAGAAAGAGAAAGAGAGAGAAAGAGAGAGAGAGAGAAAGATAGAGAGAGAAAGAGAGAGAGAGAAAGGTTTAGGTTAGGTTAGGTTAGGTTAGGTTAGGTATATAATTACCTCCATCCACATGGCGTAACCACTTTGATATCCGTGTACAATAAATGCTGTCCTCAGAGATTCATCAAATTTTGTAGCCCTGAGCTGATCAATGGTAGCATTCCATTTTAACGTTTCGCCGATTATCTTGCTATTAGGTGTATACATGTGAAAAACTGGTTTAATAATATCCGGCGATTGGGGTAGTATTGGTAATATACGTTCCGATTCATTGAAATCACGCGAATAAAAACAACCGATACTTTTATGGAAACAGACTTTTGTCAATTTATCTATAGATTAAATTTTAATAAATAAATGTATATTTAAAAAAAATAAAAACTAAAATTTAGAATAGTGTAAAAATCAGTAAACTTGTGTATATTTATCTATTGATTCTATTTTAATAAATAAATTTTTTTTTAAATAAATATAACAACTAAAATTTAAACTAGTAAATAAAAAATAAAGTAAAGCTATATATGTATATAAATAGATAATGCAACTACATAAAAATGTATAATTAAAATAAAATTACTACAGTTTTAACGCCTATAGACTGTATATTTATATATTCATTTTTTGGAGAGGCACATTTAAACTACAAAGTGCAATTATATATATATATATATAAACAATTATTTTATTTTGTTATTGTCTAGATAATTTATTAATTTTTTTTCTCTATGAGTATGAATTATTATAATTGACTGAAATATGTGGGAAGGGTCTAGTGTTACGTGTTAGCAATAACAACAACAATAATAATATAAAAATCAATCTTAGTGTGGATTTGAACTCGGAACCTACCAACACGCACGCACGCATATAAATAGTATAAAAAACAAAATGCTTCTAAATTTACTTATGAATGGCTAGGAAAAAAAACATTGTGGGACAATGCCTAGTGTTACGTGTTAGCAAGAACAACAATAATAAAAAAACAGCCTTAGTGGGGATTTGAACCCGGCACCTACTAACACACACACACACACACACACCCATAAATATTACAAAAATAACTAACTTTTGATTCCCTCAAGAAAACCCTCCTGTTCCGTTTCATCGGTAACAAATGCCTTCAATTGTACATCACCATCCTCATTTGTCTGGGATTTTTTGGGGGTCTTATGAAAAATACGTTCAAACAGTCCCCCCCGATGTGACTTTTTTGTTGTTGCTGTTGTTTTAGTTTTGCTTAAAATACTAGTATAATCGGTTGCTGGCGTTCCAGTTTTGGTCGGCGATTTAGTCGGCGATTTCAGGGCCACTTCGGGTAAATCGGGTGCCGTAGCGGCCAGACCATCGTCATCATCATCATTATTTTTATTATTTTTCTTACTATTGCATTTTACAATAGTGTAATAGGCAAATATTATAGCTTAAAATAAAATTTAAAAAAAATATTTAGCATGCTTATTTATATTATTTATTTTATTATTATTATTGCAACAACAAAAATGTCAGCAATAAATATTTCATATATGTATTTATTTATTTATTTTTAAATAAAAATAATTAACTAATATTATACTTACAAATTAAAATAAAATATATAGATAATTTCATTATATTAATTATGATGCCAATAAAAATATATATATATATATATATAATAACTATTGTTATTTATTTATATACTGTATATAATAACATTTACATACATTTATATATATATATATAACAAAATATTTATAAAAAATTTCAATAATATAAAGAAGACATGTTTGATAAATTAATTAATTAATTTTTTACTTTATTAAAAATTTAAAAAATTGTTAATATCTGTTAATAAAATACAGTACATTATATTTATTTTATAATATTATTAATTTTTTTAAAAGTTATTATCTTTTATACACAAAAAAATTATCTAATAATTATAAAATCTAAAATCAAATTAAAAATTAAATATTTATAATTGTTATACTATATTACATTATTTTGCATAAAAACTAAAACAAACAAAAAAACAAGTGTTAATAAAACATAAAAATATTTTGAATATTTGAATAAGTTATTAATCATTTTTTTCTAAAAATATTAGTAATTTAATTAAACAAAAAATTAAAGTATTATAACTTAATTAAGTTATTTTTTTATTGTAAATATATATATAATAGTATTTATACTGTATTTTTTTAATATCAGGTATTATTGCTAGATTTAAATTTAAAAATCATTTTATTTTTAAAAAAAAACTTGTTTACAATAATATTAATTGAGCCATGATGATCCAGTTAAAAATTGTTTATTTTATAGCTATATTGTTGTTGTTGAACTAATAATAATAATAATAATAATAATATATTTTTTTTTGTTAAAAAAATATACAAATAATTATTAATTAGAAAAATTAATTATTAATTATAAATATATATACTTTTATGTGTTTTACTAAACTTTTGCTTTATCTCTCTTTATCTCTCTTTCTCTCTCTCTCTCTCTCTAAATATCTGTATGTATTAATAATGATAATAATGATAATAATTAGTCTATTAATTAATATTTAATAACTTAAATGGCATTTATTTATTTATTTTAATTTTTTGTTGTATAGTAATAACGTTTGATTTTTTAAATATATATTTAATTATAATTATTATTTGTTTTTTACAGTTAATATTTAGATGTCTGTTTTAATATATATATATATATATATATATATATATATATAAATTAATATTGATGATTGAAATTTTTATTATAATATTTAAATAAAACATATGTTATTTTTTATATTTAACTTATTTTCCATTTTTTTACTTACTTTATATTGATATATAAAAAAACAATTTTTAATTTTTTAAAAACATTCAATTAAATTACATAATAAAAAATTAATAGTTAATAATATAAAACTTTGATTTAAACAAATTTTAGTAAAATTAAATTTTGATGATGATGATGCTGATACAATTAGATTATCATTGTCTAATTTATCTAGCTGTTTAATCTCTAATGGTACAGGTCGATTAATTTTGAATACAATTGGCCATAATTTTTTAACTAGAAAAAATTAAAAAAAAACAAAATTTAGCATATTAAAAAATCAATTTTTTTTAAAACTACCTTTATATTTAAAATCACTTTCCTTAACACAAAACACAATTGATTTATTTGTACCTAGCTGATCATAGTCCCATGGTTCATTGACCATAATATCGCCATTTGAATTGACCATGATCCATTTTCTACTACTATGTTGTTGTTGTTGATCACCAAACAATTCAAACTGTACCTGACTATGATTGTTACGATCAAATTGTAGGACTACCTGTCCTCTATGGGCACCTTGCGATTCCCATAGTTCATACTGTTGGGGCACTTGTAGTTGTGGTATAATTTTTAGACGTCGTTTCATGATGATACTGCTATCATCATCACATAAGCTATAGTTATTAATATCTAATATAATACTAATAATAATAATTATTATTATTAAAAATAATCTATGTAATTTATTGATTAACATATATGATTGTTTGTTTGTATTAAATAAAATTATTTACAAAAATAATTAATAATTTTTAGTTAATTTTTTTCTACAAATAAATACTTTACACTATATATTAAATTTTTATTAAATAAAATTCATATTCAAATAAAAAATTTCATCTATTATTAGATATATAAAAATATATTATAAAATTTTATTATGTATTTCAATAATGTTTGTGTTATTTATATATATATATATATATAAAAACTAAAATTAAATCTATGCTATTGTTATTTATTTATTACTGTACTCTATATATTGAATACTTGATTTTATAATAAGGAAATTCATATTAAATAACTAATATAATAGTTAAATATATATATATAATAAGCATATATATTGATTAACCTTGATAAATAATTGACAATAAACAACAACAACATCAATGTTAATAAATAATAATAAAAAAAATAAAAATTTCTTTTATTTTAAATAAATAGATTAAATTATATTAATAATATTTAATATAATATAAATATTTTAAAAAGTTTATTATATATTTTCTATAGAAAAGTTACCAAATATTAATTATTTTACTTTATTTAGTTCAATTAAATAAAAATTATTATAATTTTATTATAATTTGAATAGTTAATTTACAATTTTTTTTCTTAAAAATGTTATTATAGCTAATTTATTAACTTATTATCAAACTGTAATATATTTTTTATTATTAGTAAATATTTTATTAAATAATAAAAATTGAAAATAATTAGATTGACATGCTCAACAGTTTTATGTTTTTTTACAATTATTTTTAAACACTGTAAATGTAATTTAATTAATTTTACATTTACAAAAAAAAATAATACTTTTATTATTACTATTATTTATTTAGTATAAAAATACTATTTAAAAAAAATATTAATTAATATTAAAACTTTTGTATCAACAAAATACTGTTTTTCATATATATATTTTACTAATTTTATCAAAATTTATTATTATATCTATATGTATATTATTATTATTTTATTTTAGCTAGGTAACAATAATTTCTATTAAATTTATTAAAATGCATTATACTGTATTTTAATTAAAAAAATAAATATTTTTTTATCTATCAATATTAATTAATTAATATTATCATCAAATTGACTATTTATTATTTGATAATATTTATATATAATGTCTAATTTATTTTTTGTAGATAGTATTATAATTATATATAATGTCTAATATACTGTATATCTCGTGAGATAGTATTTGTGAAAAATTCACAAAAAATAATATATCGCTAACTGCTTATTCTGTGAATTTTTCACAAAACCATGTGATCAAAATTAAAACCATACAAACCAATCAAAATTGATTAAATTTTTTAACGGTTAAATTGTTAATACAGTGTGTGACAAAAAAATGTTAACTAAATTAAAAATTATTTTTTTAGTGATAATTAGATCCAATTATTATTAAATGGTAAAAATAGCTGAAGATGTTGAGGAATAGGTCCAATTATCATAAGATGGTAATAATAGCTGAAGATGTTGAGGAATAGGTCCAATTATCATAAGATGGTAATAATAGCTGAAGATGTTGAGGAATAGGTCCAATTATCATAAGATGGTAATAATAGCTGAAGATGTTGAGGAATAGATTTAATTATTATCTAATGGTAAAAATAACTGAAGAAGTTAATAACAAGATGTCGATGTTTTGAGTAATGGCGTTAAATCTGTACTAATTACTTGTCCATTTATTATAGATTGTATTTGTAGTAATTGGTTTTGTAAATCATCATTTTAATATCAATTAATAAAAGTTGAATTATTAACATTTAAATGGTAATTATCATTTAAACAGCAGAATTAATCGATTGATGAGAACAACAATGACATCATTTGCTGATAGTCAGAAATGACAAATGACATGAAAATACAATCAATTCTTAAATAATAATAATAATAACAATTTACAAAACTTATAAAGTTAATTCAATGTTTTGGACCATTTTTTAAACATATCAGTTAATTTACCATCTAATGATAATTGGACCTATTCCTCAACATCTTCAGCTATTATAACCATCTTATAATAATTGGACCTATTCCTCAACATCTTCACCTATTTTTACCATTTGATGATAATTGAATCTATTCCTCAACTTCTTAAACTGTTTTTACCATTTGATGATAATTATACTTATTCCTCAACTTCTTAAGCTATTTTTACCATTTGATGATAATTGGATCTATTCCTCAACTTCTTAAGCTATTTTTACCATTTGATGATAATTGGATCTATTCCTCAACTTCTTAAACTGTTTTTACCATTTGATGATAATTGGATCTATTCCTCAACTTCTTAAGCTATTTTTACAATTTGATGATAATTGGATCTATTCCTCAACTTCTTAAACTGTTTTTACCATTTGATGATAATTATACTTATTCCTCAACTTCTTTACTTATTTTTACCATTAGATGATAATTGGATCTAATTGTCACAATTCTTCGCTTAATATTTAAAGATATTTAAATAAATAAATTATTTTTTAGTTACATTATTTTTGTTACACACTGTACATTATACCAAAATCAATGAAAATTAGAAATCTATTTTGATTGGTTGATAAACGCGCGTGAATAACCGCTGGTCAACAATTCGAACACTTAGCATAAGTCTAATGTATTATTTTTAAACACTTAGGAGATATATATATATATATAAATTAAAAAACTATTATGTTTAAATAGAAAATATTTTATATTATTAGATATTATTATATAAGAGTAATATAAATATTATTTTAAGTGTTTAATTAATCAGTTTCAATAAATTAATCAATTTCATTTTTCACACAATTGAATATAATTGAATAATTGATAAATTTTGATATAATTAGGTTAACAACTAAAATGAAAAATTTATGTGAATTTATTGATATATATATATATATTATTAATATTTTATTTATATATATATATATAATTTATTTATATTTATATATATATATAGTATATTAAAATATAAATAAAATAGTTCAACTTAATTGTTTTAGATAAAATCTATTATTATAATAATATATTAATAATATATACTGTATATACTGTATCAATAAATTCACATAAATTTTTATTTTATAAATATCATAATCAGGGTTTTAAAAATGGCAGGCATAAACAATAGGTGCCAATTTTGCCAAATGCCTGCCCTGCCTCTGCCATGCCCTGGGCATCTATTTTCAGGTGGTGACACCTATTATTTTAATTTTATATTATTAATTTATTTATAAAACATTGTTTTTATACTATATTTGCTTGTATTTTTGTTTTGTATACCTTTAATTAAAAGGTAATATCATTGGAAATAAATAAATTAATTGTAAATTTAATTAACACATTAAAACACTAAATTACATTATTTTTATAAATACAGTTGCTTTTTAGCAATTTAAATTGGCAGGCAAATAAAATAGATGCCCAAAATGCCAGGCATTTATGGCATCTATTTGGGCATTGCCAGGGCAGGCATTTATTTTCTTAAAACCCTGATCATAATACTTTATATCACTTATAATCACTTTAAATAACTATATTTTATATATATATATATATATATAATATACATATATATACACAATATATACAATAATATTACAAGTAGAGTTATTTAAAGTGATTATAAGTGATATAAATTTGAACTTAAAAATAAAAAATTATTACACACAGTTAGAGAAATATATATATTTTTTAAAAATAATAATAATTTTTTATTGTAGTTATGTTAATTAAATTAATTTTATATTAATATCAGTATATTTATATATAGTTTAGTTAATATAAAGTACAGTATAGCTACGGTTTGTGTGAAAATTAATTTTGACAGCTATAATTTAATTTAATTAATTATTATTACTATTATAATTTAATTAATTATTATTATTATAATTTAATTAATTATTATTATTATAATTTAATTAATTATATATAAAATTTAATTAAAGTTATAACTATAATGTCGACTACAGTTAATTATCAAAATGCAAAACTAAAATGGTTTCACGTATTCAGCGATCGTAATGGTTATAATGTAATATTTAACCTGGATCATCACCCGGACGACCTAGTTTACGGTTACGGTTCAAACTATTGGTATAAACTGGGACTGGGTCATACTGACCCGGTTGAAACACCCGTACTAATCGATGACCTATGCAATCGTAACATACATAAGCTACTAGTTGAAGATTACTATACGGTAGCCATTGGTGGTCCTGATGGCCAGGACTACAGTGTTGTACTAATGTGGGGCCGTTTCGATCGTATACTACATCCCGGTTTTGAACCAACCGATGATGACTTTATCAAACGACCCCGGGTACTGGAGTTTCCGTTTAAGGTCCAGAAAATTAGCCTGGCCATACAGCACGCCCTGATTTTGTCAACTACAGGCAAAATATACGCTATCGGTACAAATCAACATGGTCAATTGGGTAGCGCTAGCATTGCCAACAACGAAAACAATAACCATATTAAAATGCATATGCTTGTCAAAGTAGACATACCGGAGCCAATTATGGATATATACTGTTGCGATTGGTCATCCTATGCCCTGACCCGAACGGGCCGGGTATACAGTTGGGGTCGAAATTATAATTATCATCTAGGTCATCAGCACTCGGATGATGTTTATATACCTAAACTAATTGATGGTTTAGCTAATATTCAAATACAATCGATACGTTTGGCCGATCGTAAAGCCCATTTCCTAACAACTAGAGGCCAATTGTACTATTGTGGTGAACTGTCGACTACAGTAGCTAACGGTGCTGACCATACATTTCAGATACAACCTATTTTATTGGACAATCTACCTCCTGGAAAAATACTAGCTATTGAAAATTTATCAACATATTATCATAAAGTTGATACTAATACTATATTGGTGGTTATGTTTGAAAATGATAATTTTGTTTATCAATTAACAGATAGTAATCAACTAAAGCAAACAGTTTATAGAAATTTTTTTGACTACTACTCCAATGAATTAGGTTTAACCTATAGAACCTACAGTTTTCATCAATTCAATGATAACAATAATCTAGATATGATAATAATTAATAAGTTGTTGCAAAATTTTTCAATAGTCACAAATTATGATGCTAATAATTATTGTAAAACAGCAGGTAAAATTATACATTAATTATTAATAATTATTAATAATTATTAATAATTAATAATAATTAATTAATAATAATTAATTAATAATTAATTAATAATAATTAATAATAATTAATAATAATTAATAATAATTAATAATAATTAATAATAATTAATAATAATTAATAATAATTAATAATAATTAATAATAATTAATAATAATTAATAATAATTAATAATAATTAATAATAATTAATAATAATTAATAATAATTAATAATAATTAATAATAATTAATAATAATTAATAATAATTAATAATAGTTAATAATAATTAATAATAATTAATAACAATTAATAATAATTAATTTAATATTTTTTTTAATTTAGGTCGACAATTAAAACTAGATAGAGATTTTCAAGTTTTGGATACAATTGGCCATGGTGCATTTGGTAATGTTTATCGTGTGAAAAATAAATCTAATGGCATTATTTATGCTATTAAATCGATAAAGTTTAACGGTATTATCATTATTATATAATTAATTTAGTTAATCAAATTATTTGTTATATATATTATTTTAAAAAATTTTAATCTAGAAAAACAATTGACTGATTACTTAAACTATCAAAAAGAGATGCAATCGTTGATCAGATCCCGTTCCCCATATGTTGTCGACCATATATTTTCGTGGTTTGAAAATCAATCCTATTTTATCCAGATGGAATATTGCCTGGATAATTTAAAAAATATCATAGATAAGAAAAATCAAATTTTCAATAATTCATATCCAATCGGAACCAACCCGCGTCTAATGTCTAGTTTGGAATATTATCTATCCGGTCGACTATACTATCAACTGGTAGAGTGTGTCCATTATATACATCAACTAAAACCTAAACCATTAATACATACCGACTTAAAACCGGATAACATATTGATTGTTGGTGTCGGCGGCAAAAAACAATTGTCAAACATTGGCTATTATCGTGACTATCGGCTAAAACTGGCCGATCTAGGACTGGCCACTGTTGTCAATGATAATAATAGTCAGTGTTGTTTCAAAGGTACACCACGTTATATGGCACCCGAAGTTCGTTGCAATGGACACTATAGTCAAAAATCCGATGTCTATAGTCTGGGTATTATTGGCGAACAATTGTTCAATATATGTATACCAGAGTAAGTATATTGTACTTTATAAGTAGTTTAAACTGTAGATATATATATTATATAAATTATAGATTTAATTTTCACTAATTTTTTTATAAAAAAAATTAATTAACATTGATAAACTATATATGTAATTCTTTGTAATTAATTGTAATTATTTGGATAATTATTTGAATAATTATTTGGATAATTATTTGAATAATTCTTTGGATAATTATTTGAATAATTATTTGGATAATTATTTGAATAATTATTTGGATAATTATTTGGATAATTATTTGGATAATTATTTGGATAATTATTTGGATAATTATTTGGATAATTATTTGGATAATTATTTGGATAATTATTTGGATAATTATTTGGATAATTATTTGGATAATTATTTGGATAATTATTTGGATAATTATTTGGATAATTAATTATTTGGATAATTATTTGGATAATTATTTGGATAATTATTTGGATAATTATTTGGATAATTATTTGGATAATTATTTGGATAATTATTTGGATAATTATTTGGATAATTATTTGGATAATTATTTGGATAATTATTTGGATAATTATTAGTAATTATTAGTAATTATTAGTAATTATATATTTCTTTTTTATATTTTAGACCCGAAACAATTAACAGCTACATTGGACACAATTTATATGATAAAATAAATTATTTAGCTAAACAATTGCGATTAATTACATCAACAAAACCATTAGATAGACCTAATTGTTCACAAATTATTGACAATACTGATGGATGGTTAATAAAATTTGATGAAATTTTGAATTCAGAAAATTTTCATAACGATCTAAATATGCTTAAACTTAATGATTATAAATTAATTTATGAATTAATTAAAATCAATGTCTAAAACGATTGATTGTATGGGAAAAAAATATTTAAACTAAAAGCTATTTTTAATAAATAATAAATAAAATATAGTTAACACAAATTAAACAAAATAATAATTATAATATAATTTTAGTTTTTAAACTAAAAATATTTTCTATAATATAATTTATAAAAAAAATTATTTCATAATTATTATTTAATATATGATAATATATTTTTATTACTTAAAATTTTTTATAAATTAAATTGTATTTAAATTATTGTTTTTTATTAAATTAATATTTCATTTGAAACTAAATTTCTATAAAATTTTCGGTCAACTTTCCCAACAATTGTACGTTGAATATGATCGACAAAAACAACTCCACCGGTCAGTTGCTTAGTATTATATAAAGTATCTGAAAATAATTAATTAATTAATAATTAACATTTATTATTTTTATTAATTAATTATTATTAGTTTGTTTATTAATTTTTCTATTTATGTATTTATATATATATACCGGAAACATATTGTTTGATATCAGTTTCGCTAACTGTTTGACCATCACTTTTGCGGACTACATAAGCTCGGGGTAAATGATAACCATTGATACTATTGGCTACGCCTACGACAGCCACCTCAGCAATGGATGGATGGGTTAACAGAAACATTTCAATCTCTACGGGACTAATAGTTTTGGTTATATTTCCCGAACAAATTTTCATAACTTGTTTGAGTCGATCGGTAACAAACAGATCGCCCGATTGGTTACGATAACCGATATCACCCGTACGTAACCAACCGTCCTCACCGTCGATAGTCTCTGTATATGACTTATAGTTGTTTAGATAGCCGGCAAACAGTTGACTACCTCTAACACATATTTCCCCTGAAATGTCTGTCCCCGCGCCGCCGCCGTTAACCGATTGGCCAGTAATAGTAATAGTAATAGTAATAGTAATAGTAATAGTAATAGTAATAGTAATAGTAATAGTAATAGTAATAGTAATAGTAATAGTAATAGTAATAGTAATAGTAATAGTAATAGTAATAGTAATAGTAATAGTAATAGTAATAGTAATAGTAATAGTAATAGTAATAGTAATAGTAATAGTAATAGTAATAGTAATAGTAATAGTAATAGTAATAGTAATAGTAATAGTAATAGTAATAGTAATAGTAATAGTAATAGTAATAGTAATAGTAATAGTAATAGTAATAGTAATAGTAATAGTAATAGTAATAGTAATAGTAATAGTAATAGTAATAGTAATAGTAATAGTAATAGTAATAGTAATAGTAATAGTAATAGTAATAGTAATAGTAATAGTAATAGTAATAGTAATAGTAATAGTAATAGTAATAGTAATAGTAATAGTAATAGTAATAGTAATAGTAATAGTAATAGTAATAGTAATAGTAATAGTAATAGTAATAGTAATAGTAATAGTAATAGTAATAGTAATAGTAATAGTAATAGTAATAGTAATAGTAATAGTAATAGTAATAGTAATAGTAATAGTAATAGTAATAGTAATAGTAATAGTAATAGTAATAGTAATAGTAATAGTAATAGTAATAGTAATAGTAATAGTAATAGTAATAGTAATAGTAATAGTAATAGTAATAGTAATAGTAATAGTAATAGTAATAGTAATAGTAATAGTAATAGTAATAGTAATAGTAATAGTAATAGTAATAGTAATAGTAATAGTAATAGTAATAGTAATAGTAATAGTAATAGTAATAGTAATAGTAATAGTAATAGTAATAGTATTCTAGTTTCTAGAAAATTTCTCATAAATAAAATTTCTATAGAAATTTAACTTTATTGTTATACACTGTATGGGATCCCTATATCTATAGCTATTGTATACTATAAATAAATTAATGAGACATAAAACTTAAAAATATAAAAATTATTATCAAAAAGATAAATGATTTATTTTAAATACAAGTTAATGACATTTATTTATTTATTATATTTATGTAAAAAAATAATTAGTCATATAATTAATTGAGATATTTATTGTTAATGAATTGCATACCAATATTAACATAAAAATATATTTAAAATAACTAAATAACTAAATTAAGATCATTAATGATATATTGCTAAATAAATTTCTTAAAGTTAGATCGGAGATCTTTATATTATTATAGAGTAATTTTTATATTTAATAATTTTAATAACTAACTTAATATTTAGTGTAGATATTATTTATTTATTAATTTATTATTTGGATATTTTTTAGTTTTAAAAAAATTATATTTCTACTATTTACAAAAAAAACTATAATTAATAATACTATTTATTGTTAAATCAAATTATATTTAATTATTATGCTATTTTACTGAATTTTTGCTTGCTCACACTTTTTTTAAAAATAAAATAAAATGACATTGATAAAATAATACATAATGTCAAAAAAATACCACTTACATATTTTATCTTTTATAGTTAATATACAATGATTTCAAAGTAAAATATACAAAGTATATCTTAATTTAAAAGTAAATTTTTTAATAACTTATTTCTAACATCAAAAATTAACTGACCATGATCAATTGTGCAATAAATTTAAATCAGCTGGTCAATATTTATGGGATAAATTGCAAACAATCAACAAAAATCATATTTGTTTAGTATGTTATATAATAATTTAATTTTTATATAATTTATTACAAAAATTTTATTTGTAAATTAATATCAATATTCAATTAATTAATTAATATATTTAATATCTATTTGAAGATTGAAGCAAAAACTGATAAACAGCTAACAATTGGTAAACTAATACAACTATCGCATAGTATTGCTGTAGCACTGGTAGACAGGGGTCTAACCAAACAGGATAGGGTGGCATTCAGTGGTAATAATACTATCGAACATTCGGTACTCCGGTTTGCCATTGAATGGTTAGGCCTAATATTTATGCCGTTGAGTCCGATATTTGAAAAATATGAAATACACGATGAAGTCAATGAAGCGGACATTACTTGCATAATGACATCCGCTGAGGATTTACCAAAATTTCAATGGATTTTCAACGACAACAACGACAACACTAATAGTCAGACAACTAATAATGCAAAACAAGCGGACATTAAACTGGTTGTCGTTTTTGATGGTGTATTGAATAACAACAACAACAACAATAAGATTAAAAACTATGTAACCTATGAACAGTTAGTAGCGGATGTCGGGGACAGATCCGTGTCGAGTATACCCTAATTTGATGTCGACCCGGATATGCATTTTCTGATACACACATCGGGTACTACTGGCCAACCCAAGTGTGCACTGATACCGCATCGGACAATCATCGGACGTCGTTATTCATGGTTCCCAACCAATGAACACCAAATGATTGTATCGTTTGTAACGCCTATGGGTCACATAGGAGGTACCGCCCGATTGCTTGACTATATTGCTGTGGCCGCAGCTCAGGTAATACTGTTCCCCAATGGTGTCGATGCCTGAGTTGTTTGCCATGCAATTCAAACCTATCGTATTAATTGTCTTTGATTATCCAGTCTATTGCTTACGGATATTGTCAATAGAGGACTGTTAGCCCAGTATGACCTGACCAGTGCCCGAATGGTACATACAGGCGGTACGGCCATTGGCCGCCAAATAGCCGAAACATTTATTACAAAATTACATGTAGTTTTTATTGAAGGTATAGACTACTAGTTTTATTTATATATAAAATTAATATTTTTTTTAAAAAAATTTATTAAAATATTCTATAAAAAATCAATTGAATATTGAATTAATATTTTTTTAATATAAATAATTATATATTTAATATATAGATTATGCGCTAACTGAATATACACCATGTAGTCATAGTAATATACATAAGCCATACGAATCGGGTAATGTTGGTCAACCGGCCAACACTAGTGACACTGAAATCAAAATTATCGACTTGACTACCGGCCAGCCAGTTGTCGGCCCTAACATTACGGGCGAAATATGTTTGAGAGGCCAATATTTATGTGCCGGTTATCTAAACAATCCTAAAGCTTATAGTGAATCGTTCGACCCGTACGGTTGGTTACGTACGGGTGATATCGGTTATCGTAACCAATCGGGCGATCTGTTTGTTATCGATCGTCTGAAAGCAATGATGAAAGTTTGTTCGGGAAATGTTATCCAAGCTATTAGTCCCGTAGAGGTTGAATTGTTTTTATCAACCCATCCATCCATTGCTGAAGTGGCTGTCGTAGGCGTAACCGATACGAGGTTTTCGGGTGGTGTTTATTTACCCCGAGCTTATGTAGTACTCAAAAATGGTGGTCAAACAGTTAGCGAAACTGATATCAAACAATATGTTTCCGGTATATATATATATATATTATATACATGTTATGTATATACAGTATATTAGTTATTAGTTTTAATTAATTTTTTAAATATATTTAATTTGATTTTACAGATACATTGGCCGCTACTAAACATTTGACGGCTGGAGTCGTGTTTGTCGATCGCATAAAGCGTACGAGTATTGGAAAAGTTGACCGAAAATACTATAAATCATTGGTTGAAATAAAAAAATAATTTTTAGTTTATTATTATATAATTTATTTATTTTTTTGGGTAATATAGATTTAGTATAAATATAATTACAAAAAAATTAATTTCTAAATCTAAAAATTATTAATTAGTAAAACTATCAAAACAAACTAATTTAAATAAAATAATTTAAATAATTATTATTTTATTTATTAAGTAATTATTATTAATAATTTTAATTTATTAAATTGATAATAAAAATCGGCGAAATCTTAATTAGCGGCGCCGACGCCTACAGCGGCGATACATTTTTAATAAAATAATATATATAAGCGGCGATGCTAATAATTTTAATTATATAGTCAACAATACATTAGATTTAAAAGTGACCAAGGGTAATGTTGTAGATAATTTTAAACTAAATAAGATTATAATTGTTCACTAAATAAATTAATTGTATAATTGTCCGTATAATATACAGTCGACTGTTGAATAAAAATTGTAAGACTGCGAT